CTAAACGGCACAAGACTATTTTGGGGGCATGTCCTTGCAACTCTACTTCATTAAGCGCCCATCATGTTTTGGACTGAAGGGCATTCTGGAGAAAATAATTCCTCTCCAGACTAGAAATGGAGATGCAGTTCTAGAAAAAGGAATTCAACTAGAAGTACACCTCTAAACATAAATTACTTCCATGAATCTAGAGCTGATCCTGCACTAAAACAGTAGGAAAATTTTTCTTAAGAATAGAAAAGAAAAAAATGCAAACAATTGAGAATCTCAAAATACCTGAGAAAATATAACACCATGGGTCATTACTAAAAAAAAAAAATCAACAATATAATGTACAAATAAGAAACAGATTCTAGAATATTATGAAAAGAACTTTCAAATAAATCATCTAGTGTCTTCAGGGAAAGACAGGAGTGAACTTATCTACAAGTTAACAAGAATGAATACTTATAAGGAAGGAATTGAAAAGGAAGATCCAATAGCTAAAACATTTCATTAAGGATGCAGATAAACTTTAGTTTGAATACACTAAAGAACAAATTAATGAGTCAAAATATAAAGAGCAATTTTCTCACATTATGCTTTAAAAGAATAAATAAGTAGGAAAAGTGAATAAATAGATAAGAAACAAATAGAATAGAGAATACTTAATACTCATATAAAAAGAAAATGAGTAATTGGAAATAATAGTAAGGTAAATATAAATGAAAAGTAAAAGGATGTAAAAAATCTATACATACTGACAGTAATCAAAACAAAAATTTGGAATTGCCATATTATTATAAAACAAGAAGACTTCAAAGCAAAAAATATTACTAGGGCTAAAGGGTGCCATTTCATAACAAAATGTGATCAATTCATTAAATGGACATAACAGTACTACAAGGTTTTATAACTAATAATAGTGCTTCAGTTGAAGCAAAAATGAATAGAACTTTGTGCAAAGGGAAAAAACAGCTCCACAATATATCTGGAAATTTTAGCACTCACTCAATAAATGATAAAAATATGCAAAATTCAGGAATGAATGAGAAAAAGGAACCATATTATCAATACATTAAATCCAATTGGCACTCATAGAACACTCCACCCAATTACAGCACAATGCACATTCTTTTTAAATAAACTTGGAAATTTTGTCAAAATGGACCACTTTCTGGACTGTAAAGCAAGAATCCATAAATTCATGAATCACTCAAGTCATAAAAAATATGTTGTCTGATAAAAATTAAATATCAAATTTCAAAACCATGAAGATCTCTGGATAATCACCAAATACTTTGAAACTAAGTGACACACTTCTGAAGAGCCCATGAGTCAAAAATAAATAAAAAGATAGTTTAAAAGTATCTTGAAGTGGATGAAAATGCACACACAATGTATCAAAATTTGTGGAATCCAATTAAAGCAAGACTTAGAAATTTTTAGCACTAAACACTTGTAGAAGAAGAAAGTCTCATATCAATGACCTCAGCTTCTTTCTGAAGCAACCAGAAAAAGAAAGCAAACAAAACCCAAAGTAAGCCCCAAAAAATGAAATAATAAAGATCCTACTGTACAACACCCTGGTTTATATTCCTTATCCTGTGATCAATCATAATAGAAAAGAGTACAAGAAGAACATGTGTGTTAGTCGCTCTGTCATGTCCGACTGTTTGCAGCCCCACGGGCTGTATGTAGCCCACCAGGAATTTCCATGAAAAAGAAAATATATATATATATATATGTGTGTATATAACTGAATCACTCTGCTGTACGGCTGAAATTGACATAACACTGTAAATCAACTATATTTAGTAAAATTAAACAGAAAGGTAAATGGATACTGTGATATATTCACTCAGCCAAATGCTACTCATCAATATAAGGAAATGAAGTATAGATACATGCCACAACCCAGATGTACCTCGAAATTATTGTGCCAAGTGAAAGAAACCAGAAGGAAAAATAAGTAGGTATGACTTCATTTACTAAAATTCTGGAGATTGAAAACTAGTCTACAGAAACAGAAAGTGGATCACTGTTTGCCTGGAGGTACGGGGCGTGATGTGGGAGGGGAGAGTAGAAGGGATTCTCCAGGGACAGAAGGACGAAGGAAGGGGGGTGAAGAGTATTTTCATCATCTTGATTTTGGTGATGGTTTCGTGTGTGCCTAAATATGACAAGAGTTATCAAGCAGCATGATTTAAATATCGTAGACGACAATGTTAATCATACCTCCTTAAAATTGCTGAAAATATTTTTAGAATTAAGAACCTCCCATTCCAGGCTTGGCAAGAGTCAGAGTGGAATCACCATGACTTGATCCAAAGCTCCAGAGCAGGGCAAATCCCCTTTCCTGCCCTTGCCACTGAAACCTCCGTGTATGCCAGTTGTTGAGCACAACCGCCTGCTGTGAGTAGAAATGCCAGCTAGCGGTGGCTGCCCCGTAGCCAGCAGAACTTACCCCCCAGTCCTTCTCACTGGGAATGCGGGGTGTGGCTGCAGACCTCTGCCGTTAACAGATGTGTCTGAGTCCTGCTTCTACCACTTCCAAACTGTGTGATGCTAAATGCACGTGTTCTCAGACCTCATTTTCCTAATCTGTATAAAGGGTACAATAAAACCTACCCCACAAGGATTCTTAGGTGAGGAGGATTCAGTGATTGGATCAATTTCGGTTTGCAGAATCATTTTTTTTTTTCATGAAAAGCACTATTCATCTACAATTATGCTTACAGTAAGATGAGATGGTCCAAAGAGGCTACTGGTGCTTATATTGTAATATTAATACATCCTTTCTGTGTCAAAGAGGGCAGTCCTTAGAACTACAGATACTCATCATTTCCATTTCTAACAAAAAAAAAAAAGTGAAATGAAATACTTTTTAAAGAAAAAAAAAAAAGATTAGATCAGTTTTACCTGAGAGTGTACTCTGAGGGATAAAGCACATTGCAACATGTAAACTGAAGTTCCGTTTTAAGCGCAATTAGCAGACTAGACAAAATGAAGGAATGCAGTTACTACACTGTGGGAAAAACATTCCTGAGCAAAATGTCTCCTGCTCTGTCACAGAGATGCAGTCTCACTAATTAGAATGAATTAGGATTGGTAGGGCTCCCTTGAAGTGGGCTGAAGATTGGCTGACGTGTAATCAACAAAGAGTAATGATAAATGACAGCGTGCTGAGTTGGGCTGATGTGATTAATAGAATCTACAGAAGTCCAGGCAGCCTTTTATTTGGCTTAATATTTTTCTGAATGGATTCAAGAAGGAATTTTTTTTTCCAGCACATCAATTTAAATAGAAGATAGTGGAGGTAATAGATGTTTTAAACCCCAGAAAAGTCAAGCAGAAGATAATAAAGATAATATTGCTTCCCTATGTTCAGATAGGGCTGTTTGCAAAGGGTTCTCACATTCTTTTATTTAACCCTCTTATTGACATAGTGAATTAGATAGAGCTGGCATTAACACCATTATATAGTTGAAGAACTAAAACTCAAACAGCTCGGGTCACTTGTTTAAGGTTGTATTGCTAGTAAATTTCAGAGCTGGGTCTACAGCAAGCCGTCTCCTGTATTTTTGTCTGCTCAGCATCAGTTATCTTAAAATAATGCCCTGATTTTATGTGGGGGAACCACCACACTCCCTCTCTCAGATCAGGTAGTATTAAAGTGACTAAACCACTCACAGATTCATAGTGTGTTTTTTAACTCCTGCTAGATTCATCAAGCAAAAGGTGATTTCATTTTCTCCTGGTTGCTTAGCTGGAAACATAGATCTACCGAAGGTCACCACATGCCAGAGAGAAAATGTCTGCCTAACAACTAATCCCAATTAAAGGAGAACAATGCAAGAAAAGGAGAGAAAAGGAGATATCCGAGGCCATCATTTAAATTCCTGAATGTATTATAGCATCTGAGAGTGAAAGCGTTAGTCACTCAGTGGTGTCTGACTCTTTTGCGGCCCCATGGTAGACCCTGACCACGGAATTTTCCAGTAAGAATACTGGAGTGAGTAGCCATTCCTTTTTCCAGGCGATCTTCCTGACCCAGGGATCAAAACCGTCTCCTGCATTGCAGGCAGATTCTTTGCCATCTGAGCCACAGGGAAGCACCGAACGCAGCATCTAACTGCACAAAATCAGACTCACTCTTCTTTTTTCTAAACAAATATTTATTTAATAAAGTACCATTGCAAATAAACTACTGAAGTAGAAATCCTATAGGATTTAAAAATTTTTGTAGCTGTTTAGCATTTGCATAGGACTTTTTGAAGAAATGGCTTAACAAGACAACTTCCTTAATACAATACAAAAGCGTCAAGTGCAAATACTTTTAAAAGTAACATCACTGAACAGTATTCAATGGTGGAAACGATACCTTTAGACTTAGGAAAAAAGCTCTTGGCCATAAGGATAAGTTTGGACTCTATTTTCTAAGTTTGTCTGAGAGGCCATTATTCCCAAATGCTGTTTATCTTTCTGATAAAAGGCTCATAAGGCAGAATAGCTTGTTCTGTTTTGGATTTTTCCCCCTACCTCTTTTTTCAAATGAGTGAAGAAATAAGCAGCTCTCATCAAAAAGGAAGAAAAAGGAAAAACAATCTATGGTTACCCAAACTGGACTTCAGATACAAGATCTGCGCCTTTGGGAATCAGGTCGCCGGCCTGCAGAGGCTCGGGCCCTTGCCAAGGTCAGTCTGCATCTCGGGGGAGGAGAAGAGAGGCTCAAAGAGCCGCCAAGCCAGTGGGATTCTTTGCTGACTCTCCTGGTGAGGCTGGGTCAGCTGATGGAACTGACCCAGAGCAGCAAGATCTCCAAAACTGTCTATTGCAGGACCCAACAAAAAAGTGAAAAGGCTAGAGGACACCTCCAGAAGTGTTTAACTACCCGTCCCTCCTAAGTCATAATTCTAACGAGCAAAGATGATCCAACAGTGATCCAGAGGCGCTTGCAGAAAGCCTTTGGCTCCATTCAGCTGGTCATGCCTGGCGGAGCCCCTCTGCGTGTGCAGACTTCACGGCCAGCGGACAGTCACCGCTGGAGCTGTGTTGTGGCAATAGCCTAAGAGAAAACCAGCAGTTGATGAGGCTGGAGACCACCATGAGGGACACTATGATTGTCCCTGAAATGACGAGGGACACAGAGCCCAAGCCACACAGGACACAGAGCAGCGAGAGGCCGCCCACAGAGATGACCGGTCCTTCCGGTAATGAGACTCCCGCAGAAGCAGCCAGGGAGGTCAGCACCAGGAGAAGCAGGAGGAAGCCGACAGGAACGGCTGACACTGCAACAGATGCCAGCAAGGTGAGGGTCAGAAACGGATGCCAGTCCTGGCCCGCGGGAGACCTCATAAACGAAACCACCTTGGAGTTACTCTGGACAGACGCTCTCAGCAGAGACAGCTTCCTCTGGAGCTCCTGCGAGTCCTTTGAAGTGCTCGGGGGCTCCGCTTTCGCCATCCTGAAACCCACTTCAGTCTCTTTAAGGATGAATTCGACCAGGAAGCTCTTCGATGCAGGGCACAGTCCAGTGTCTCATGCCACTTTGTCTCTCGTTGTCACCGGTCCCTGGGGCCGCGGTGCAGGCGGAGCAAAGGAGAGCTCCTCCCGCGCCCACGCCCCAGCCAGCCCAGACTTACTCTTGAAATCTGTAAGGTATGTAAGCCAGTAAATTCCTTCTGCAGTTTGTTTAATGTAGCCTGATTTTGTTTCTGTCACTTTCACCTGACAAGTATAAGCAAGAATTCAGATCTTTGGACCCATGTTAGAATTCTTCTCTTGGTAATAACGACAACTATAAAAGTATAATAACTCATATTCATTAACTACCTTGTATATGCCACTGCTCTTCCAAGTACGTGACATATATTAACTCTTTTCATCCTTACAATAGTCCTGTGAATTGAAATGTGAAATAATGCGCATTTTATTCATGAATAAACTGAGAGCAATCAAATAACTTCACTTATAATTCACACCGAGTAAATGGAGGAGCTAGGATTAGAATCCACTCAGCCTGGCCACAGAGTCAAAGCTTTTCATTATAAGGTTACACTTATTTTTTTAACCTGAATTATTCTCTGAGCCATATGAGACCAGTGGTTGGGTAAATGATAGTTTCTGGTAAGCAGCTAATAAGACACGTGGACAAAGAAAGCAGCCTGTGTCCACTGTCAGTCTGACGGCCAACTTCCATTAGGGCAAAATCCTAGTTGGAATGAAAAACGCCTCCTCACCTGCTTTGCTTTTTTACTGTGTATTCTGACTCACCACTGAGAAGTGAGACAAAGGAGCTTCTCGTTTTGTGAATATTTACTTACTTGACTGGACCAGGTCTTGGCTGCAGCATGTGGAATGCCGTTTCTGGAACCTGGACCCCTGCACTGGGGGGCTGGGAGCAGTCTTAGCCGCTGAGCCGCCAGGGAAGCCCTGAGATGTAGGAACTTTGATAAGTCTGGCAATCCAATGGAACAGGCACATTGTACCATAAACTTTTTAAATGTCCTGTTTTCTTGATGTGACAGCATCCCACAGACTGACTGTCAGCATCCTGTCTGGGGAGCGAGATACGCCAGTGTGATAATGCTGGTCTTTGCCCCAAGTTCTCTTTCTTGCCCTTCCCAAGTGTGACCGCCTGCCATTCAAACACCCCCTTACCCGTTTTGCTGGCCTACTGCACTGTGACTTCCAGTGATGGCACTTGCCTACAGCAACCCCCTCAGCACCCCACCTGTTTAGCTGAGCTCTCTCTCTCGGAGCTTTTCCCAAGGCTCCCTACACGGGATGCCTCCCTTTTCTAGAACTTGTGGGTGCAATAAATCTATTCTACCTTCACGTGTCTTTACATAGTGTTATTCCAAGTCTACACCAGAGAGATGATCCAAAAACCCTTTTAAAAATAATATGATTATTCCTTACAACACATGTGTACAATTCAAAGTCTATTTTCTGTATTCTACCCTGGATTCTTTCCCACTGACTGCCAAGTCATGCCTTGGCTTACTTAGCTAATCTAGAGTCATAAGAGTTATAGACACAATAATTACTTTGAAATGAATTTTTTACATGTTACCAAATGTGTCCCCATACATATTTAATTTGATTGCCCCCAATAGGTCTCTGTAGCAATCAGGCAATAAAATCCCCATCTCTGAAGACAAGAAATCAGAGACTCAGATGAGATGTGTCTTGTCTAGGGTCACTCCACTGTTGAATAAGGAGACAGATCAGTTTCCCTTCCTCTACACCATTCCACTTTTTATTGTTTTCTTCGGTGAATGTTATATGCTTCTTCAGTCTAATCTGTAAAATATGACCAGTTTCCGTGTCCTTAGATATGTCCAACTCCAGATTCACAATTTTCGCCTCTAACCCATTACTTGGTAACCTCACTGACATTTTTATTATTTGCCCTCTAGATATCTCCACTCAAGTTCGGTGGCCTTGTTTGCTGCCACTGACCTCCATCTTTACTTTTACATTGATAGAATGCCCTAGGATGGACTTGAGCATCCCGGAGCCTTGGTGCACTCTGGTCATCTTTAACTGAAAAACCACAAGCAGTCTTCTTCTCAACACTGCAGCTTTCAAACTGCTCTCCACCTTTCCTAAAAGCTCCTTCCCTCACTTCCACCCTCCCCAAACCTCCCAACTTGACTCTGCAGAACAGTCACATGGTCACAGATGGAAGGACTTCTAGTCCACCATTTTTAGCAACTTATAATCTTTTCAATCTACCATAAAAATCAGTATACATGTGCATCAGCTAGGAGTTCAATACGCAAAATAAACAGAGAGACTTATACATCCAGGCCTCCTCATATTCTATCCTGATCCCAGATTCAAAGCCATTTCTTCAGTCCCCAACGGAGTATACCCATGAGGTATTCCAAAGCCTAAAATTTATAGTATCATAGAGCAAAGATGAATCTGATCGATCAGGTAGCTTATCTTCAGAGACAAAAGGAGGATGTCTACTAGTTAGGGCGGGCTGTTTATTGTAACCCACAACACCAAAATTTACAGTGACTCAGCTATTATTAGGTTACACTGCTACTCTATGTCTCAAATTACAGTCCAGTTTAGGATGACAGATGAATACATCAGAGGCCCAGGGTCTTTCTATCCAAGCCCCTGGATTCCTCTGTTTTAAACTGGTGGACAGAGAAAGAACAGTACATGGAGGACCCAACAGGGGATTTCAAAGGGCCTGGATGCACAGGTGTTCACCACGCTGGCTCACACCTCGCTGACCGGAAGACAGCCACACACACGCATCTAACAGAAAGGGAAGCTGAGAAATATGAGAAAACTTTCTCAAAACCACTGGGGAAATGACAGTTAAACTTATCATGGTGATCATTTTGGAGTGTAAAGAAATGTTGAATCACTATGTTGTATACCAGGAATCAACAACGAGTCAGTTATACTTCAAAAACAAACTCAGAGAAAAAGAGATCAGATCTGTGGTTATTCCAGGTGGGGTGTACAGGAGGGGGAACTGGATGAAGGCATTCAAAAGGCTCAAACTTCCAGTTATAAGATGAATAAATTCTAGGGATATAATGTACAACTTGATAAATATGATTAACACTGTCACATGTTATATATTAAAATTGTTAAGACAGTAAATCCTAAGAGTTCTCATTACAAGGCAAAAATATTTTTCTTCTCTATCTTTAATGTTTTATTTATATGAGATGGTGAATGTTCACTAAACTTATTATAATAATCATTTCATAATGAATAATCATTTAATTCCTTCATTTAGAAATCCCCCATGGGTCTCTCTGGGCCAAAATCAAGGTGCTGGGAAAGCTGCATTTCTTTCTGGAGGCTCTTAGAATGGATCTGTTTCTTTGTCTTTTTCAACCACATTCCTTGGTTCTGGCTCCTTTCTTCCATCTTCAAACTCAACAGCATTGCATCTCCAGCCATGCTCATGAAAGTACATGGTTCTCTGATACTCTTCTTCTGAATCCTTCTTCCAGTTATAAGTATCTTCATGATTATATTTAGATACAATGGATCATTCAAGATAATATCTCTATTTTAAGGTCATCTGATCAGCAAGTTTAATTTCACTTCACTGTGTAAGGCAACATATTTGCAGGTTCCAGAGATCAGGACATGGACATTTCAGGAATCTTTATTCTGCCTGCAATAATTACTATTTTAGGAGAGCTATTGAAATGGAGAGATCGACTTTGACTCTATGTGAATTGAGACATAAGGCTCTCGCCCAAATTACTGTGTGTTCTTATAAAAGTGGGATGTAGGAAGATGGAGATGGCAGTAAAATGTCAGTATTTGCGAGAGAGAAAGGTCAGAGGGCGGCTGGAACAACTGTTTTATGAAAGGCTTTGTAAGTGTCCAGGCACAAGGAGTACTGCTCTGTCACAACTTTGGGGCTTTGAAAGACAAGGGTTCTGGCAATCTTCTGGAGCATCAGAAAGCTCTTTCGAGAAACTTCAAGGGCCAGATAAATCAAACTGGGGGGAAAAGAAGACTGAAGTACTTATGTTCACTATCTTGTCAGCATAAGGGATATACTTCTTTGGAGAAATAATTGAGGTCACTATTCTGGGGATCTTAAATCCATTGTTCAGGTGATAGGAGCTACAGCTAAAATTTGGTCTCAAAAAGCTAATTCCACTTAAAAACCTCCTCAGAGACCTTTAAGCCTAGACAGGTAAGATAGGTAGACAGATAGATAGGTAATAAAGCCTAGATAGGTAGATAGGTAATAGATAAGTAGATACACAGAGATATGTAAAATATAATACTGTTTTAATTCCTCTACGTATTTTAATTATCTTCTATCATTAAACATGATCAAAACAATTATCAAAGCATTCACTTAACTGTGGCTTCTTTTGTTACCAGGTTTCAGGTGGAATTTGAAAGTATCCTTTTGTCCTTGTACATTCTGCTGCCTTTTCATTCATTTAAACAATATTAATTTTTACTATCTATCTGTGCTTCATGCATATATTGTAGCAGCCCTGAAAGCAAAAGTTACTTGAAAGAATCTCCTTCCTCGCTGTTGTTTCCAAAAAGCAAATCCACTGTGTGTCTCCTAAAGATAGAGAGTAAATTTTACAGCCGAAGTCTATCTGAAGAACACATAAAGAAAAGGAAGATCTTTCACAGACTGAAGAAGACCTTTCTGAACCCCAGTCATGAAGGCAGCTGTCTGTGGTTTTCACTAGGAGCTGTATGAAGCCTATCGGAAGCACTGCTGCAGACCAGTTTCAAGAGGATGCTAGCCCTTGAAGGGTGCCAGACTGCAAGAGGACACCAGATTGCAAAATGAAATTGCCGCACAGCAGGTTTAGAGATTTCAGCCATGTGGTCCCCCACCTCCACAAAACGTCTCATGCTTTAGGTATGACCTAGAAGCAGAGGATCCAGTGGGATCCCTGATTGTCTCAGCCGTGATTGCATCACAGTTTACAGAT